GTAATTAAAGATTTTATTATGAAATAGTTACCCAATCAAATACAGGTTGTGCACGTAAAATAGAGTCCGTAGTAAAAAATAATGATGCCCAATGTGTTTTACACCAAAAGTGAAGTCCTTCTAATTGAATTTTTATTTCACCTAAGCCTTGTCGCAGATAAAAGTTTGCCCAATGAGATTCTTTAAAAAATGATACAATCTTATTATATTTATTAATCAAAATTTTAATATTTTTTATTTTAACCAGATCAACCGCAATTAAATTTATCGCATATACTGCACATCGAATATCCCATATATGAGAATAAGACTTTTGAATCTTTTGACATGCGTATCTGCAATTTGATGCAGTGTCGGTAATTAGAGCTGCAAATTTCTTGTTTCCTATATCTTCAATCAAATTAGATATTTCCTTAATTAAAAAGTCACCCATGTGCGCTTCAGATGAATAATTTCATAATGCAATAAGATATTTTTTCTGATCGGTCGTTGCCACAATGTAATTATAAAACAATTCCATACGTGGCGATGTCCAACCATCTAACACTTAAAAAATAAAAAAAAATTAAACAATTAAAAGTTGTATTGTTAAAAGTATTAAGGCTTATTGCCAGTTTTTAATCAAATAATTATTTCTATATTTGTACAATAATAAGGTGCTATACAGATACGTATACATATTACATATAATAATGTATATACTTAAGGTAAGATTGTCGCAATGTTTAAGTTCACTATAAATTGTGTTGGTTACTCGAGCAACTTCAGTATCTAAAAGATGTCCCGAAAGTGTCATTCATGAGGGTGGAACATATCTTGGATTCAAGTTTTTAAAAAAATCTCTCATGAAGGGATTTTCAATAATTTCAAATGGGATTCCTGTCATAATCCATGCTTTTAATAGTGATTGGTCAATACGATTATTTATTTCAGGAGGAAGAGGATCATTTTGCAAAGATTTGGAAGTATCTGTAGGTGCTGATGATTTACGAGTATATTGATTGATTTTTTCAGTTAATTTCTTATGCCAATATGTGCTAATGTCTTCAGGACAAGATGCGCAATGGTTAGCCAAATGGGCTTTCATAGCTTGAGGTTTTCCACGCATCCAGCTTTGGTTGCAATAGTAGCATGTTGCTTTATAGTGACCATTGCCATCATTATTTTCCCGTGAATAATATGACCAAATTTCATCAAAATTTGGACCGCTATTTTTTTGTTTTTTGGTTAAAGGTTCTGAAGAAGAGCTAATAGTATCCGAAATATTTGAGTCTTCACGACTTAAACTTGCCATTGTTAAAGGATAAAAAAAAAGTTTTTGCTTTTTATTTTATTTTATTTTTGTCTCGAATAATTATTTAATAAATACGCTATATTACATTACAACATTTATCACAATTATAATACGTATACTTATATTACTCACTACTTCTATTACGACTTATAACATGCCATAATACTTGACACATACTTATATTACTACTTACGTTATAGCGTATGACATATATTAATACTCACTACTTCTATTACGGCCTATAAAATGCCATAATACTTACTACTTAAATTGCGTCAATGCTGCAAAAGTTGCAACTCCAGTAGTGAAAGTCGTAACTCCGTTACCTCAAAATGTCTGCACCTCTATATAATTCTTTTGAAAAATGAAAACTAATGTCTATATGGGTAAAAAAAAAAAAAGAGTGAGATCAAGAGTAACTAAGCAATAATAAAATAAAATGAAATGATAAAAAGTTGCGTCAAGCTACCAATTTCTTTCCAACTTTTAATTGGATTGTCTAAGAGAAAGAAATTATTTGATCTGATGGCTAAAATTGGTTACAAAGAGTAATCAATACCGATTACAAAAAGACATATTGAATTCATTATTCGTAATCAAATAAGTTTTTTATTTATATTCAATTTGTATGTTGATATATAATATAATGGTTATTTAAGTTTGGCTTTAAGATTCTCTTTTCTTCCGTATTTTATTTTATTTTTAATAGCATCGGTGTTAGTCACGAAACCGCATCATAACTATGGTACTCGCCTGATGCAGAGTAATTCTTATTTTCTAATAAATAAACTACTCATTTATTAAAAGTCATTTAATATACAATTAAAAGTCTGCTATTTTATTTTAAACTAAGATTTGGTATCCAAACATTGAGTCTAATTTAGGTTCAATGTTCAGATACGCAAATCGGGAACCGGACATTTGCAAAAATTCCGTAGAGTATGGGTTGAAAGGCTTTTACTTGTTTCACTCAGCTCCAGCAAACTAATACAATATAATGTTAGATTTAGAAATTTTTCAACCATAATATAATAACAAACCTTCCGAAAAATGATCCCGAGAAGATTAACAAGATATTTGTGTAATAAAAATCTGGTTTAAAAAAGATAAGGACAAGGATATTTCAATTTTGATGATCGGCTAAATACGTTTGCACATTTTTAGTGCTATGTATGGTTAAATTATTACTCAATTTTGAATTCTTTACGCCACAATGGTAATGTTCGTTCATGCAGAAGTAATTGAAACCGATGCAACTGTGCTGGCAATAATTTTTCGGTGAGTATACAACAAATAAGATATTGCGTTCTTCACCATCCTTAAGTTTTTTTATAAACTATATACGTATTCAAGCTTTTCGAATTTTATGGCATTTTCTTTTTACTTGTGAATATCATTTAAAAATTCGATCCTCACATTTTCGTTTTTTGCTATCATCTACGCGGCTTGTACACTCAAAACATGATTTACTATATCGAAAATGTGTATCAGGATCATGATTATCGAAAAAAAAAACAAAAAAGGGCAGGCAAATCACGTGTTATGCCGTTTGTAATTAAAAATAGGGTTAGGGCCACTTTGGGTTAGGGTTAGAGGCGGTTATATAAGCAAAATTACTTCCCCGACATCTTTTTTAATGTACCAAGATGGGTTTAGACTATCGGTTTGTTTTTTTTTCTCTTTTTTCCGTTTATTTTGCTTCGTCGTGTTTATCAAATTTTGCGATCCGATTGGCTGGTTATTACATAATTTAAGGGACCCTAAAAGGGCAAAGATCAGGGATCTAACGGCATAAAATTTTTATACGTATAGGGTTAGTAAGAATGTATCGTGAAAATCATTTAATTACTACAACCAAGATTTTGTGGACGAATTCAAACTCGAATTGAACCACACTCCGTTTCACTACGTTCCTGGTATACACTTCGTTTTCATTTGCGGAAAACTCCGTTCTTGGTATAAACTTTGCAATTCATTGATGATAAATCATGTAGTAAAAACTACAAACATTATCGAATGCTTCCAAATTTTCTCATGATAATACGAGTTCGACTTGTGTTTTCATTGTGATATTAATCATATCATGATCGATTTGAGTTGAAAATTCAAACTAGTAATAGTGTTCCCTGATCTGATCTTTGCATGCTGATCAATGTATTAAGTAAAACTGATATAAATTACACCCAAATGATCATAGAGAGGCATATAAATCGATAATGTTAAGGGTTAATTCAAGAATTCGTTAGATTAGTGTCGGAATCAATCCTTTATGAGTTTTATTAAAGAAACTCTCGTTTCGTCATTGTGAAAGAATCGACAATGAGACACCTGAACGATACGCCTATCGAAAATTATAACCAAGTGAGTGGAATTATACTGAAAAATAGACCAAAGCAGTAATATCAAGAATAACCGTGACACAAGGACCTGTACACATTGAATTCGTAAATTAGAAGTGTCGGGTATTATTTTTGGGTAGTAACCAGGATACCGAAAAATTAATTGCAATTAAATTTTTATGCTAAAAAAACAATTATAATCCAATTAATTGCGAAATATTTCAAATTTGCCCCATTTTTTTATGCCCCATTTTTTTTTAAACTACAATTTTTGACGTCAAGTTTACCATTATTTCTATTGGAAAAATTGCAGTTAATTGATTAATTGTGGCTGCAATCAATTACTTCCACAATCAGTTGTTCAATAATAACACTGTTGATCAAGTATCACGCGGTAATTTTTATAAAAAAATTTGCTAATTTGAGTTAAATAAGACAATTTTACATGAAGTTGGATATAATGTAGAGGTTCCCAAAAAAACATTTTACAAAAGCAGTAACAGTAATTAAGATTATTAATTTTTTTTAGAGTACGCTGAATCCGAAAGATTATATGAACAATACTATTTTGTACATGGAGAAAGATGAGGGGCGTGGATGCAAAAAATAATTAAGAGTTCAAGTATGTGGGCTGATATAAAACAAAAAAAATTCAAAGTCCAATCCAAAGATGAAATTGCATTAATAATCGGAAAAGAAATGCGAAAAATAAAATAGAGGTGAAATCCACGAATAACAACGAAGTAACAAAGAAAAAAAAAATCGAGAATTGAAGCCTATCCGTCAAATTGTGTGACAAGTTCCTGACCAACGACAGAACTTTTAATAGTGAAATAAGCTGAAGTCGGAATGAAGTTTGTGGTAACGGAGCAGTGAATCGTAGAATAAGTAAGCCTAAACTGGTTGGAAACGACAGAAAAATGAAAATTGATTCTGAATAATGGTAAAATTTTGAAAAGAATAGTCATAGCACATCAAACCTGCGGAAATAAATCGTTTAAAGTGGGACGACTAATCTTAGACGTTGTCGCCAAAACTGTAAAGGATGAAACAAAACGTCCATAAATCAGACGAAATAGGAAATTGAAAGTTTATTGCTGATGGATCGATCTTGTTGATTTTGTGTAGAAAAGGACGTCAAAAACTCTTGGAAATGGGACTCGCCAAAAGAAACGTGTAATGTTGATGATTGTTATCCTCATAGGATTGGAATTTATAAAAATGAAATAATAAATCGAAGATCAAATAAAGCGGGAGATTTCTCCGAAAATGTAGTAATTATTGGGAACTGTTGGAAATTGTCGTCATAATAGGATAAGAGTTGAAACGGATGTATGTGAAGCGTTTGAATTGTGTAATCCGTAAAGATGGCAAATCGAATGAACAAAATAACTTTGGATTGCACTATCGAGGTGACATGGTATATGAAAACTACCAAAGGTGGCATTCTTGCTAACAAAAAAATTCTAGAAAAGAATGCTTGCGGATTAGGTGAGCAATGAGGTAAAGGTATATGTTGGTTTGATAGATAAGGAAAGGCCATATCAAGCTGATAAAAAGTTAAGTACGAATTTTAGTGCTCAATAACAAAGAAAATATAGTTGCTTTTGATGAGAAAATTGGTGAATTTAGAGTGGATGGAGACGTTCATTCGATTGGCGGGAAATTTTGGTAGATCAATTGAGTTTTGCTGGAAACTTTTGATGGGTCAGATTAATGCCCACAGCATGTTTTCTGAAAAATTGGTAAGTATCCATAAGTCATCTGGTTTACCGGTTACATCTTGCACGATCTATTAATTATAGAGAATGGTGCTTCGTTTATACTTGTTCGTATATTAACATTTAATTGGTTAATAATAATTAATAATATGTTTTGACCATTATGTGCAAAATCGAATTTTGACATATTTCATACGTATAGCAACCAGTTAAATTCGGTAACGCAACTCATTTCCTTTTTTGTAAGAAAGTCACGTTTAGAAAATTCCTGATCATTCTATTTTATTTGGCGCACAACTGCCTCAGGGATCCCAACGACCTGTATGTAAACTAACCTTCGCAAGAATTATTTTGAAGGTTTTATTATATTAAATTGGGCTTTATTTTCAACAATAAAAACGTATTAAAAAGATTCTGGAATAATGTTTACAATGTTGCAGATCAATTTCCATATGGGGTAAAATCCCTGACTGTATAACATTAACGTTACACCCGATCTTGCCATTTAATTGGTTGCACGGAATCAATTTTCTATAGGCGCGATCAAAGTTTTGTTTATCTGTTATCTGTTTTCACATTCGATCTCATGTGAACATGGCGTCTACTCGACCTGTTCAAGATCAGATGTAACTAGCACGATCAGAAAAATTCAAAACAAACGTTCATTTTATCAAAGATCGCTTAAAACTCAATATTTAGTCTACAAAAGAGCCTTCTGCACATTAGTCAAAAATTTTTCTTAGCAAAATTTTGGTATGTAAAATGCCTTTGAATCCAAACTTAAGAGCAAAGCTCTTAACCATAACCTAACAGCACAAAATTTTATTTCGAAATAGTTTTGAAATTTTTTCTACTCTAGTGGTATATACCGATGAACTTTTATTAGAAAAAAACAGAGATTTTATAATTAACACAAGTTATTTCGATAATTAATTTAAAACGTAAACCACTTCAATATTTGATTATACTGGTTTCAACAAGGTGAGCGTTCTCACTGCGATTCAATATCCTAAATCATTAACGCGAAGGTTTCGATATTTTATTCAATCTTTTTTTTTTTATTATTATTATTTTTTTATTTTATTTATTTATTTAGATCACTAACAAACAAACACGAAATAACAAATTTTGCAAATGAGTATTATATACCTCATTAACAAAAACATCTTAACTGAAGATTTCAAAGGAGCCTGTATAAACCAAAATGATCGAATACATTGAAAGCATTGATTCTGGTACCGGTGGGGTTGTAAAAGTTACAAATGATTTATTGGTAATGATTAATACCAATGTCAAAATCAATTCATTTCAAACGTAATTAAATTTTTAATAAAAGATCTGCCAATCTATAAATAATATATCACATTAATTTTTTTTAAAAAATTATTGCGTTTTGCAAGTTAATTAAAAAGAAAAAACCTAGTTACAATATATGGATTCTAACCCAAATTTTACTTGTAAAATTATTGAATGTGATATTAATAATGTTGGTGTGATTTAGTAAAAAAATAGCAACCCGAAAATGTGTACCAGGTTGCGCTCCGGATGATAATGTGACAGTCGGAATCAATATCCGGAAAAATTTTTGAAGTTTGGTTTAGCACACGGTTATTTATTTCATTAATTATGTACTTCACGTAAATATTACAATACATAATACAGTCAAACCCCTCTATAGTCACACCTTCGGGATACAAAAACTATGATTGTAAAGAGGTGTGACTAATATAGAGGTATTTTTTATATAGTTATAAATAATTGGTAAAATAAAATTGTAATTATACCAATTTTGTGACTATAGAGGAGGTGACTATAGAGGGGTTTGACTGTAATACGTATACATTTACAGTCCGACCCTCTAAATGCAACCTCCCTAAATGCAACACCTCTAAATGCACGATAGAAGCTAGCCCCACAATGGGACTTATAAATAAATGCACGTTCTTTATTCTGTAAGTGCACGCTAATTGTTTGGCCCATTTATCAAAACTCTCTCCATAAATGCATTCACGTGATTAATAGCCAATCAAATTTATTATTTGCATACTATTGTTACTATTGTTTTGGGAGAGCTTATAGAACTATCGGCACAATTTAACTCCAATAGTTAACTTTATATGTTCTTTGTATAGAACTCAAGATAATATAATAATAAATAAAGTAATAATTCAAACACGTGAGATTACGTAATTGATCCGAGATCGGGGCACTTAATTATATCTACCGGTAATCAATCAAGTAAATAAATCAAGATGTAATCGTAATTAAATAAATCAGTAATATCAATAGTTAATCAGTACAATCGATATTAAGGGTCGATACTTATAAGGTAATAAAGTAATAGGTAATAACAAAAGGGGTATAATACAATCATGAAGGACCTTCACGGTAAAGATAAGGGAAATAAAAATATAAAATAACAACAATACAACGGTAACTTATATAACATCAATTCGAGAAATCAATTCTTAATACTCCTATATTAAAGACAATGAAATCTCCCGGGTCGATGGTGCAGTGGTAGCACTCCGGGGGTCACAATCGCAAGGTCGCGGGTTCAAGTTCAAAGGGCGACAAAAATTCTGTCAGGACCACGATTGGAAATGATCTTCAGGGGATTTCCATAAAAGAAAAAGAACAAGATTCATACGAAAGAAAGCAGTCACCGGCATAACCACAGAGTCGGGGATAACCAGATAAGGCGTAATCCGTCAACAAATGACGCTAACATTGAGGAAGCCCGGTTTCAGATTAATAGGACATTAGTAAATATACAGACGATCCGGCTAGTGGGTCATGTGAAATTAGGGAACTGCGGATCTCAAAGTCGGGATCCTACACCGCGGAGCCAGGGACCCAGGACGTCATATGACGGACTTAATGGAACATGAGCTATCTCACAAGTACGGTGAAGAATCAGCGGTCACCTACCGTGCGTCGATCTCCGCAGAATGATAAATCTGGCCTTTAAAAGATGTGAGAGATCCTAAAGGTGCCTAAGGACTTTCAGGATAGCGGAGGGAGGTAAACCGAAAAAAAAAAAAGACAATGAAATCTAAAGTTTTATTCGAAGAGCGAAAAGACTGCTCTTTTATACTTTCGAAATACATAAGTAAAACTTATACAAGTTATTTTCAGTTCTCTTGACTAGAATTACACATTCGCTAAGCATCTTACTATTTACATAATGCTTTTACTTATTTTCTACCCTACTAACTAAGCTTTTCTATACTCTAGTCACTTCGCCTTACTCTCTTTCAACCCTTTTCTAAGCTTTGGTTCACTTCTAGTCATTACGCCTTAATAACAAGTAAGAATCTTTAGATATAAAAATAAACAAAAATGACGAATTAATAAATATTATGTTTCTTAATAACCCCAG